AGGACAATTAAAGTTACTATTAACTTTCCCTGTTACCAGTCCAGTATATGACCCAGCTGCCTAGCAAGGAGGTGACACAAGAATTTCTTTCTGCAGAAACTTACTGGGCTACATTGTCATTTTTATCCTATGGTAATACTCAGACCCCACCCCCAGACTGTACTGTAAAATTGAGACTAAACCAAAAATGGGCCTTATTTCCAAAAGCCAAGAATCCCATAAGGTGTGTCAAAAGTACACTTAAACTAGGAAACAAAAAAGGACAAACCCAATAAGCTAACATTGCCCTAACTCCCTAGCAAGTCCTTTTTAAGATGCGGGATGTGAAAGAGAGGGATGTGAAAGAAAGGGATGTGAAAGGGAAGAGTGGGATTGCAGTGACAACTCCTTTGCAGCAAGGGAGAAGTAAGAAAATGATGATGCTTTCACATTATAGTGTGTGTGAACAGAGGCTGTTAGGAAAAGATGCAAGACAAGTAATCATCTGAACAGGAAATGACACAAAAGAATAAGGCAGAATCCATGCAGTGGCTGGAATGGAAATGGAAATAAACAGTTACTTCTTGAACTAGCAGATTTGGTGTTATGGTCACAAAAATGGAGAAGATAAAACAGGCTGCCCTCACCCAGCAGTAACTGACACAAAAAATAGGCCTAAGAAATTTTAGATTACATGAAGAAAATGTGCAAGAATGAGATACCGTGGAGGCAAGGATCTAAAAGTACAATCTCAAAGTGATGTGGGCTCTACAAATGTTGCACTGCTCAGCAACATCCCTTTGCTTTCCATCAGCCTCAAGAAGCACAAATACTGGGTAAAGGTAAACCAAAGGCTATAGAACTTCCAGGTCATTGTGCCCTCCTCCAGTTCAATGCCCTCTCTGGCATCCTGGCCAAGGTCCATTACTAAGGATTATCAGTGGGCAGTAGCTTTAAAAATTCAAAATTGCAGTCGATGAGTTTAAATCCATTCAGACATTCACTGATGTAGTCTTTAGTCCTACACTCCACATCATTAATAACAATCCTGTACCAAGGTAGGTAAACAGGGAATGTCCTCAAAACACACCTCTCACCAGTGTGTTTTGATTTGATTTAACCTCTGATTTGATTTAACCTCTCAGATCCATTCAGATTCCACGATGCTGAGACTCAGCCTAGCACAGCCAATTTTAGTCTGATAAGGCACCTGTACTTCAGATTTGAGATTGCTTTTGCAGCTGATGGTCTGAAAGCCCCAGGAGAAAAAAAATGATGGTAACAAATTTCTTTTAAAAGTAAACAATGTTGTTTGCTAACTGAGAAGTATACCTTTCTTAATGCTGAAATTCAGTTTTCTGATGTAAGTCAGCAACGACCCTTCAGACTTACATCTAGGTACATTTTAACAGATATAGTCATGATTCTTTTTTCTACAGACTATTTTGGAAATGAAACTGCAGCCTAAGTAAATAAAAGATTAATGAAGTACAGTTTACTAATCTAAACCCCAAATAATTTTTGAACTCTGAATGCTGAGTTCCTAAATATTCTACTCAGCTCCCAAAGGTGCAGAACTGTTCCACGGACTGCCAGCACTGACAGTACTCTAGTTCCCTGTTCTAGCCTTAAACCCAAAGCCACACAGACATATTTGAGAGAGAACTGATCACCTGGTAGAAATGTGAGAGTTCTAAAGTTCCCAATAGCAACACAAACATCCAGATGCTTCTTAATTATGGGGAAGAAAAAAAAAAACAACTTTTAAAAAAAGACTTGGGAAAAAAAAACTCAAAATGAGCTTGATTTATCTCTTTTTAGCCAACCAACTTTTCAGCCTGTCTAACCTTTTAGTAACACCAACAGACAAATAAAAAATAAACACACCAACTCTGCAGACTGGGAATTTCTACTGATCATTTTCAACTTCTGTCCAGACTACACCTTACAGTAAGTGCCTTGTGCATGTGTTACCCGAATGCCATCCAGACAATACCAGACTATCCTTGAAAGGATAATAAATAAATACAAATTACTTGTGTTCCAGAACTCTTTGAAAGGATTACTGTGCATTAACACCTCATCCTTCCTCACCCTTTTGCCAAAAAAATCTGTATTTATCAGTGTTCTTTCTTCCCCCACCTCAGCCTATTATTTAGGAGAATAAAAACAATGGTTGGGATGATAAGCTTATCAGCTGGGGAGGACAAGTCTCTGAGCCAGGGTGGACATTTGAAAAGCAATGGAGGGAACAGGGCAGAACTGTGCCTGGCAGGACAGGCTATTTCAGCACCTCAATGCTGAGGACCAGCAACACATTCAGAGGCTGAAATGGAGCAGTTTATCATGGCCAAGGTGCCATCTCTAACTCCCTTCAATAAAGTTTGGTTTGTTTTACCTGAATAATTTTAGGTATCAACACCATCATGAACCAGTGAGTGTCAATAATCAATCTGATTAAAGAGAACCTTGCAAGCATTTTGAGCAAAGTATCAAAACCTAACCTGATAATCTGATTTACTTTATTACAAAAGACTGCATAATTCAGGTTTACATAGAATGGCAGAACATCTTGAATAAAGAACAGTATTAATTACCTATGTTTCCCTCCATACACATTGCAATTGTTCAAAAAGTCCAGAGGCCATTTGCATTGCTTCAATCTGTTTTACCTATATACCATCAAAAATATGGTAGCCTAAAAAGAAATTTTTTTTTTGTTTTTGCTTTTTATATCTGAGTATAATCCAGGATTTAAATCCAGTCACTCGCAGTAAACTCAGATACACAGTTCTTAAATGCCCTCTCTTTCTCAGACTTCAGAGTCAACCATGGGGAGTTACCCACCTGTACCCACTTTGACAAACAGAAAAAAATGGTATACCATCAAAAATATGGCAGCCTAAAAAGAAAATTTTTTTTTTTGTTTTTGCTTTTTATATCTGAGTATAATCCAGGATTTAAATCCAGTCACTCGCAGTAAACTCAGATACACAGTTCTTAAATGCCCTCTCTTTCTCAGACTTCAGAGTCAACCATGGGGAGTTACCCACCTGTACCCACTTTGACAAACAGAAAAAAATGGATCGATTAAAGTCTATTTTCAGTCCCTAAGTCAGGGTCACAGATGCTCCTGACATTTCTCAGGGCCAGAACCATCCCAAAAGTACAAACCTACATTTGTTCCCGAGTGTGGCTCACAGCTTCTCTTCAACACAAACACCTAACAAGGAACACCTGGCTCGAGCACAGTGCCCCAGTGTAATGGTTCATCACCAGCACCTGTCTCCAAGCAGATGACTCAGTGTCTCCTCTGCCTGAAGACAAAAGTTGCCCAAGTGTTTTGAGTTACTAATCAAAATATTGGATTCAGCTGACTAAAACCCCATTTCTGCCCAATTTTATACACTTAGAGCTTTTCAGAGGGATCAGGCATCACACTGTCAGACACGTAAAAATGCATTTTACATTGCAAACAGTTTCTATTACTTGGGAGCACAGAATTAAGCATCTGTATAAATTGCATGACTATAGCCTCAGTAATGAGTTTGTTTTCTATTAGCTCTGCTCAACTGCTCACCAGGTTGCTCATTTCCCAGTCAGCTATTACCTGTCTGAAGTGCATTTCCATGGTAGAAAAAGAGCAAAAGCTTCTCCTGCTACTTAGCTCCTCAAGTATGAAAACACATGTTAAATTAATCAACTCAGGTGGAAAAATTAATGAGGCTGCTAGAAGATAGAGTAGAAACACCATTAATTTCCCAGCCAGTCTAGGATTCATAGACTTCAGAAAAGGACTGCAGCCAGCCTAACTGCTTTGCTTTTATAACAAAACATAACACACAGGCTTCACCCACCTCATGTTTTGGTAAGATGAAAGATACTCAGGAAGAGAAAGGAAACAATGTTTTCTCACAAGAGAGAGCCCCTTTACTTGGAGAAGCAGCTGAGAAAGAATAAAACGGGCAGCACACAACAAATATTCTGAAGAAAGATCCTTGACTTTTTAAAATTAGACTTTTAGAGAACTCTGACCTCAGAACACAACATGGTAAAAGTGGCAAGAACATGGATGCAGAATAATTCACTATTTTATTTATTTCCTATATCAGCCAAAGCAAAGAACAAGCTACCTTTGAACTCTTGCCACATACATCTGTTTTGCTTCACCTAACAAGGCTTTCTGAGATGCACATTGTAAATGCTGAGTGCAGCAAGCTGTGAAAAAGGGTAAGCATCAAACTCCAGTGATCCAGAGTTTTATAGGGCCAGGGACTCTACACTGCAGCTCTCTGAAGAAACAGCAATCACTGAAGCTGTGCTTAAGAAGCAAGGAAAGATGCAATGACTGTAGCAACAGCAGAGACAATCTGAGTCCCAAACTGAGCTACCTGTTGGTTACCTGAGGAAATCTTTGCATCACAGCATGGAGCTCAGAGCTGGATTCTCAGCAGGGCACGTTGCTATATGATACACTCCAGGCTGCCATACCTGAGCTGATCCTGCGTGTTTAAAATACTTTTAGAGAGTGTCTCACACTTACAGGCATTACCTGCAAATCTCAACCAAGAGAACAGTTCAACTTCTGTCTTTTTTTTTTTACAGGGCCTGCACCACCTGCTACGTCCAGGAGCAATTAAGCAGACGCAGAAACTGAGGGAACGCTTAGCGGGCTCACACCTGGCGTTCCGGAGGAGCGGCAGTGCCCAGGTGTGCCAGGCTAACGCGGGCGGCAGACCAGGCTGTGGCAGCCCCGCCGTGCCCAGACGGCCCCACCGCCGCTAACACAGCGGGCTGTGCGGGCGCTACCTGTGGTAAAACACCCCTTTCCCACCTTTCGGGGCCTACAGAGAAGCCCCCCTGAGGCAGCCCCGGGAGGAGGGAGGCGGCAGGGAGCTGCTCGGGGGTGAGGCGGTGCCGAGCCCAGCGCGGTGCGGAGCCGCCGGCCCGGCCGCGGCTCAGCCTTTGTTGTGGGCCGCGGCGGCGCGCTCGCTGCGAGGGTGGGCGTGGGCGGGGCCGCGCCTCTCCTGCCCCCCACACGCCCGGGCGGGTCCGGCCGCTCCTCGGGCGGCGCGGCGGGGCTTCCCCTCTCTCCCGGCCGGCCCCCTGCCTCCCGCTCCGGGCAGCATGGTGGACCTGGACAGCGAGGTGCCGCCGCTGCCGCCGCGGTACCGCTTTCGGGACTTGCTGCTGGGCGACCAGGGCTGGCAGAGCGACGACAGGTGAGCGCGGGGTCCCCGGCGGGGTGGCGGGGCCGGGCAGCGCTCCCCGAGGGCAGCTCCGCCCGCGGGAGCGCGGCCCCGGGGGAAACTCGGCCGGGAATGGGGGGCGAGGGCCGGCCCGGGGCTGCGGTGCCGCGCCCCGCCCGNNNNGCTGCGGTGCCGCGCCCCGCCCGCAGCCGGGGCGAGCCGAGCCGGGCCGGGCCGGGCCGGTCCCTGAGCGGGCGCGGAGCATCCCGCGGGCTGCGGAGCGCTCCCGCCGGCCGAGCCTTGCCCTGCCCCGCGGCACGGCAGCGCAGGTAAGAGATCGTGTCCTCCTGAAAGCCTTCACAGAGGGAGCGTCCCAAACCAAACGTGCTTTCCCGTTTGTCCGAAGGCTAATTGCAGTGTGCTTTCGTTGTCCTATAGCCAGGTTTCTTCACGCGCAGTTTCGTTCCCTGCTGGGATCCTAGGCATGGACGCACCTACCGTGATTTTATTCCTTTATGAATTCTTCCAAGTCTTTCAGCGTCTTTAATCACACCCGGTGGAAAAAAAGATTTGTTTGTTTCAAGTCAATTGTTTTCGTTAAAATCATAAACAAAGAACGCTTTACATTGAAAGAAACAAGCAAACCATGTGCATATGCGTTCAGTTTCAAAATGTTGAATGAACAGCGTTCATGAGCAGCACCAGCGTCATTCCACTCTGCTGGACCATGCAACCTTGTGTCTCAATAGACTGTTAAATGATTCTCATCTTGCAAAATTATGTGTCCTATCCACTTTGTACTAACACTCTCTTGTAGTCAAATGTCAGAAAAGCAAAATCGGCAACATATTGGATAGATTTTAATTCAATACATATGAATTGTCAGAGTATGTCTTTAACTTGGCAGTCAAACTTTTGATTTTAATTCTGTTCTGCATTGTTCCAATTTTCACTACTTTTCTAAGGAGATACTGATTATTATTGATTGATAATCACAAGATCATGCAAAATATGTAACTAAGTATTACCCTTGTTTAGGAGAATATACTCTGCAAAGAAGCAGTTAAACAAATGGTATTTATTCAGACAGTTATGAAATGGTTAATGACACCTTAATATAGTCACAAAAATGAATGCTGTTGGTTGGAAATGACAGCATTGTAACTAGATAGTGGAGAGTTAAATAGTATGCTTATCAAAGCATGGTTTTACTGTATAAAAAATTATAAGTGTATTGTAATGTAGTCATGACTTCTGATTCCTTGAGATTTTAGAAAACGTGATCTTAGCATCTTACACTTACTGCAGTAGGAAAAAAACTCCACAACCTTTCTTATTTTAACAACTTTATTTATTTGTTTTGGGCTTTGATGGCTAAAACTTACAAAATATGCTTTATATGCATTTTTGCATCACTCTGGGGCTTAACACTTTTTCCACCTCTAGTTTAAACTTCTGTCAAGCACTTCCCTGATGCCAATTGTTTGACTTGCATTTAATGAAGTTTCTTCTACAGAAGAAGCATGATCTGGTCTCAAGTAGCAAATAGTGTAATTGCACAACCCAGAGCATCCTTTCAGCTCTTGTCTATTTCAGGTCTATGTGCACTTAACAAATTAAAAGTAAATAATCCTTAAAACAATGTTGATAGCAGAATTATAGCACAAAAGTCTCCCAGAGCATGGCTACCATTTGAAAAACTCCACCAAAGAACTGGTGAAAAATTAATGGTTAATTTAAACGATTTAATTAATATTCCAACAAACATTACAAGAAAAATCTCCATCACAATCTGAAATACAAAAATGTAAATGGCTTTCTAGATCTTTATGCACTGTCTGTGCTGAGGCTGGGCACAGCTGCACAGTGGTAGGAAGGTGTGCAGGGAATTCCCCACAATGCAAGCAAGATTGTGTTTTACATGAGGCTGTGATAGCAGCACTCTCTCCTCCAGCTCTGCAAGTTACCATAGCAGTGTTTTTGGATACCAGCTTTCCTGTAACTGAATGAGAGCCATTCTTACAAAGATCTTGTGTATTATCTGTTGTTTGTCTGTCCAGATTCTGACTTTCCTGAACTGGAGGCTGTCATGTGTAACATTGAAGTATTCATTCTTTCCTATGTTGCTGGAATATTGCTATTCATTACAGAAATAGTGTCAAGTGGAATATTTAGAATATTAGACATACTTCCAGGTAATATTGAATGAGAAAAATTGCAGACCTATGGGGTCCCTGAGATCAGCTTCTTATTAGTTTACAAGATTGGCATTACACAAGTATGTATTATTTTTGTCTGCTTTATTGTCTCGTCTTTACACTCATAGGTATATGGTTCTTGGTTCACTCTATGGTGAATGGTTGGTTTTGGTGAAGCACATCCTTTGTATTCTGTTCTAAGCAGTGTGCAATATAAAGGGGTTTGTAACCCCTTCAGTTGAATGGCTGTTCACTATGAATGGAATATCTGACTACTGAAACACAGTTAAAGTAGCCTTAGAGCTACTCTAGGCTGCACATGATCAAGACAGTTCATTTTAGTTATTGGACTTTGGCTGAGATGCTGCAAACATTTTTCTGCCTGTTTCCAGTTCACTGCAACTTTTTAATTCCACTTGCTCTCAGCTCTGGCAGTGTGATGTTTGCTAAGGGTTTTCCATCTGTGTAATCTGTGAACTTCTGGTCTCTTACTAGCCAAACACTGTCTTTTCTTAGTTCCATTCTCTTTTTGATCTTACCAGTCTGTTCGTCCTTGGGGGGTCTCTTTTCTCCTTCCCTTATTCCCTTTCTGGAAAAATGCTTGCTTTTTGCTGATAGGGTCCATCTCCTGGTTTTTAGATGCTTGTTGGTGTTTTAGAGTGGAGAGGAGATGGAATTATTCCTCTCATCTAGGATTCTTTGTTGCCAAATCAGTTTTAATAGCATAGTTTGTCATTATATGTCACATGGTAGTATTAAAAAATAAATATGACTGAAATTATGTGACCTCTCTTTTTGTTGAAAGATATATTTCTGACATAACCATAGTTCAACTTTGAAACCTTAATGGTTATGTTTCTTTAGGGCGATTTGATCACCTATTTCTTTTAAATGTTCCTGTTAATTTATAAAATGCACATGTGCTAAAATGCTTGGCTGATTGTAACAGAACTCTCATTCAGGAATTTTGTTCTTAGATCTCTACCGGTTTGAAGACAGCTTTCTAATTTTTTTTTTTTCCTTCTTGGGGACTTCTATAGTGGAGCCTCACTCAGACTTTTCTTTTTTTTTTTAGCAATCTAGTTCATAATCCATTCCTTACCTGTGTTTCCTCAATACAGTAGCCTCCATCGCACTGCTTTTGCATTTCTCTACCCTCCCCCCCAAAATTCTGCTTTCATAGCTTAGATTCATAGCCAGCCTTGCAGTTGGCTTCAGTAACAGATGGGTTCTGGGCTGTCATCTTCCACAAACCGCCAAATTGGATTGTATATTATTTTTCATAAAAGAAGTTGCTGTGTGCAGAAGAACATGCTGAATCTTTGACAAATGATTTTCGTTCAGTAAGAAAGCTACTTCGAATAATTTATTTGCATTCTTGAATTTGCTGAGTGGTTTGGTTTTTTCCCCAAAAAAAGAATGCTAAAACCAGTTTTGGTTTTTGCAAAGCTTGATTTTTAAAGGAACCTTGGTTCCCTTTGAAAACTGGAGGTGATGTTTGATGCTACACTACGCTCATTTTGTATGGAGAACACTTCTACAAGGCAGCTGGAGCATGTGTGTGTGTCAAGTGGGTGAATTCTGTGGCAAATAGGGCAATGGATCAGGTTTCCTCTGGCCATGGAAATATCCCAGGCACTGGGCTAAGGGTAAAGAGAAAATTGGATCCTTGACTTTTTCACTTGTTCTGTAAATATTGCTAATATCCTTTTGGGAATCTTAGATTTTGCTTTCATTATTGAAAGTGTCTGAAAATGTAACAGACTGTTTTGATTTGCAGGATATTCTGAGATGTTTATTTGACCTTCATAATGAAATTTACCTTTCAGTTTGGCTGCTGGAAAATGAGCAGAAATAGAGGGAGAACTCAGTGAATAGCACATTTATTCACCTGTTAATTCAGCCAGATTTCACTTTTTGTGATTGTAATAGTAAACTATGCAATGAAATGTTTCATTACCTTACTGATCATCAGTCCTTAGTCTTACCAGCTATGTGGAAAAGCAAAACAAATAAAATTAGGAAACACCCTACCTGGTGAAGTGGTGACATGTGCGAAGTTGGTCAATTGCTGCAGAGGAGGGGATAAAAGAGAATGTTTATTTTTAGGTTCCTATGTAAGTTTGAGAAAGCTACAATGAAGAGGTTGTTGTGTACATAAATAGTTACCACGTGCTTCAAAACAGCCAAACCACAGCATGCTAGAGGTGTAAAGAAAGAATTCCAAGTTAAAAATTAAAAGCATTTACATTCTCTCCATATCACTGCCTTTTTATTAAGGCCTTTAGTATCTTGCAGAGCACAGTTTACCTCACATTTCTTAAATCATTTATGCCCAGACATTTAATCCTTTCTTTAGAAGCTCCTGAAGATAAAAAAACTGCATTTGGTTTAGTGAATTCTAGCAAGACGGGAATGTTTCCCACCATTGAAGCATGACTGCTTATTCTGATGAACTGTTCAAATTCTGCTCTGCCTGCTCTGACAAAAATGTCTTGAACTGTGCAGGAATGGTTTGGCAGTTGGAGTGTCCAAGGAAACAATATGAACAGATAACTTGTGGGTAGTCCAACCCCCACCTTCAAAGCATCCGATTTCATAACTTTTCTATATGCTGCTGCAAGATATTTTTACAATTTCAGTCATGGAACAAAAATTTACATTTTCCAATTCTGTAATTTTTTTTCAGTTCTGTACAGATATAACAAGAACATTAACTGGTACTGGAAATTCATTTCAAATCCTGCTTCTGTATTGAGATTAAAATTTGAGTAATTTTGCTACAGTATATACTTTAAATTTAAAACTATAGAGCTAAATTTTACCTTTGTGAAA